GGAAAAAAAAAAAAAAAAAAAAAAAAAAAAAAAAGAAATGGTAACTTTTGGAGTTTCAGTACTTGAAATATTGCAATAGTTAATATTTCTAGAATATTCTATGCTTAAAGAAACTGCAACTTTTTTATCCAAAAGAAGTTTTCGTTTTTTATTTTTAATTTTTTTTTTTTTTATCTATGTAGAGTGGAGTGTTTGACTAGTTAGTTCCAGAATAATAATTATCTTTTTTGTATTTTTCAGTAATATATTTAGAGGGCATGCTATATGTGTCTATCATATGTCTAGCATAAGGGCAGCCTTTAATGGACCATATGCACATAAAGAAGGACCTGAATACCACTGGTCAGTGTATGAAGGAAAAGTCCCCTACCCAAGGCCTGGTTCTGTAAGTTCAGACATTTAACGAAGTATTATTTTTTTAAACTTCTTTTGCTAATATTTTGTTCACTGTTTCACATGATTTACAAGACTTTGAAATTAAACAATTAGGGAATTGTACACCTAAAAGTATGCTTGATTACTTGCATGGTAAAAAATATCACTTCTCATCTCAAGTTGTATGCTTGTTATTTAATGAAAAGAATATAATCTATAATGAATGTATTTTAGCAGCATTTTAAAATATATATTATCATTGACATTTTGACTAAGTAGAACCAAATGGAATTTTATTTTTAAGGGTACTAATGAACACAGAAATATCTGATAAAATGAATATAATATTCCTCCCAGACTCTTCAGAAAAATTGGCAACACATGAAATTTCCAAACAATAGAATGTCACCAAGTTTTTATATTCTCATATCAGGATCAGCCTCTAAGTTCCCCAGGCCAAACTTTCTCCTTACTTCATTCAAATTTTTGTGCTTTTTTTTTTTTACCTTTTGTGCTTTAAATTGCGTGCATGTCTAGACATGATGATGATGATGATGATGATTTTGAATCATGTATTCTGTGTGCAACTAGCTTGGAAAAATGTTGGATCATTGTCTGTGCTATGTGAGTCATGGAGAGCAAACATTTAACTTGTCATGCAAGTCAACATCTACACTTTTATGAGCAGTTGGTGAAATCCCATCACTATGCTGATTCCACAATTACTTGCAAGTCAAGTAGAAACTGTTTTTGCAGAGCCAAAACCCAAAGTGGAAACAAACCTAACCTCCATTAACAAGTGTAAGGCTTTACCATTTCAATCACTCTTTCTCACTGGCTTAAAATTATTACCTTCAGTAAGACATAAAGTATATTTTATTTCATTCTATTGATTGAACTTACAATTTAAATGAAGAAAACCCACTCCTGTGGCTTTGCTGGAAATGCTTCTTGAAACCACATGGTCTTAAATGAGATTTGGAGGAAGTGATTGGTTACTGAACTGCTTCCAAGCTAGTCCAAAATGTTTCCAATTATATATCATGAAAGTACACTCAAGTGAAAAATTCATGCCAAATTAAGAAATATGGCCTGACATTTAAAAACAAACCATTATCAAAACCTTCTTTGCAGAATCTGATTACTAAACTACCATAAATATACTCTAAAGTGGAAAATTTTTATCAACATAATCATTGCAATTGCTGCTGGTTCTGTAGAAAAATATACGATATGAGGGAGCTTGTATTAGTAAGTGTAAATCAACACCATTAAAGATTTTCCAAGAAGTAACTTAAGGTGCTATTCTGCATTTAATTTTAGTCAGTGGTATAAGAATTAAGACATGTTATAGTAAACATTTCTGGTTTTCCAAATTTATTGTGTCTAATCCATACAAAAATAATTTAAATCTATACATGTTATGGTAGTAAAACAGGGAGGATTGTGTTTTCCCTCAGTAATTAACATTGACAAGATTTGAGTAGGTGTCTATGTTATAGCACTAAACTTCTCTAGTCAGCCAATTGGAACCATCACCAATGAAATTACATAGTACCAATAATTGAAAAGCTATTTCCTGCAGTTGTGATCCTTAGTTTTGAGACAAGATTGAGCACAACAAAGACACTTTGTTTTTCTATGAAAAATAGTTTTTTTACCTTTAAAACTTAATTTACAATATGAGAAACAAATTTCAGAAACAGGGAAAATAATTTGAAAATTTGAATATTTATGATGTTAAATGTTTTTACCACATCTAAGCTGTCCTTGTATTAAATATACTTCACTTTTCTGGGATTTCACTCCTTTCTGTATATTTCTAGTGCTGCGTGTTTGAAATAATTTAGTCTCTGTAATTTTTTAATGTAGACTCCATTTCTGTAACGAAGGATATGTGGTCACTAAATATTTCTAAATGAATGCTTGATTAATTAAACATATTCAACTTTTCCAATTCTCGTGTGGTTGATTATAAATTTGCTATTTAGGGTTAAGGCAAAACGAATGATCTAATCTTCTTGCATTTCAGTGTGCCAGCAAAGTGAATGGAGGAAGGTACGGAACCACCAAAGACTACCCTGACGATGCCATCCGATTTGCGAGAAGCCACCCACTAATGTACCAGCCCATAAAACCTGCCCATAAAAAACCAATTTTGGTAAAAACAGATGGAAAATATAACCTGAAACAAATAGCAGTGGATCGAGTGGAAGCTGAGGATGGTCAATATGATGTCTTGTTTATTGGGACAGGTAAAGAGATGACAAAGTACTCAGAGACATTTAAATTGACCCTTAAAATAAATCATTTTAATATTTTGAAAATCACTGTATTAATCCATTTCTGTTGCTTATAACAAAATACACGGAACTGTGTAATTTATAAAGAAAACCCAATTAAGTGCTTACAGTTTCAGAGGCTAGGAAGTCCATAGTCCCTGAGGGACTCCACAGTTGGTGAAGGCCTTGGTGGTGATGACAGTGACCCAGGGGTCTCACATGGCAGAAAATGGTGGAGCAGAGAGAGAGAGATAGTTCCTCACGTGCTGTCCTTTTAAAGCCCTCAGAACCACACTCTTGGCCACCATTGAACAATCAACTTAATCATCTCTTCAGGTTTTTCCCACCCTCAACAGTTGCCGTGGGGATTAAGTTTTGGGGGGACATTCAACCCAAGGCAAGTACCTATCAACAAATCTCCTGTTGACTATTAGCCCATTTGCAAACTGCTAATCCAAAATGAGAAAGATTGAAATAAAGTCGTCATCTGACTTCAACAGTGATAGTCTATGCATACTGTCTGGGAATAATTATTATCATTACCACTTGCATTGCCAAAAATGTCACGGTTTGGACAATAAATGATGTAGGCATCCTTATTTCAGATCTAAAAAATAGTGAAGCAGTTCAAGAGAGGATCTGAGGCTGTTATTGCACATAACTTCTGATACATGCTCAATACTTGATGCAATTTAATAAACGAATACTTGAAGAAATGAATAATTGATGTTAATGAACAATGTTGGTTACAAATAGAACTTCTTGTGGTGGAAGGAGGATGTCATGGCTAGATGGCTCTCCTGTTGGTCTCCTAGTCCTATACTGCCTTTGGCTGCTCAGTGAGGCCTCAAAATTTTACAAACAACTTGGGACAACAACTTCACTTAAATCTATAACCACAGCAATGCTTATCAGATTCTGCTTATCAGAATCTTATTTGTACCAAACAAGCCAAATGTTACCCATAATGTAAGGAAACTTTCACACCAAAGTTATAATATCGTGCATTAACAAAGTATAATGAATATGCTAAAAGTGAAATTTTTAAATAAATTTATAATTTCCATTAGATCTGTGGAAGAGAACTTGGAATTTTTCAAAATTTAGAGTAATATTTAGCAAATTCCATAGAGTACTTAAAAATTCTATAGTCATTTAAAAAGTCTTTAAAATAATCATTTCTTTCTTTCTTCTTATGCAGCATAGTAATTGCTATAGCAGTTGCTCTTTAGAAAAGTGAGCATTCTACCACACATAACTAATCATAGACACATAATTTTGAAGGGATATTGGCATATACCCAGATCAGGAATCAGGATCCAATATTAACACTGGTGCTTGGGCTTCTGCAATAATACTTTTTAAGAAATGAAAGATTCAAGAAAGGAAATATTCATCTTATTTCTAGAAATTGATCTTTGATACAGGCTGTATTTTATTTGTTTGTTTTAGGAAGTTGGTGCTAATAATGTACTCTGAACTGTAGGTTTAAGATCATCAAAGCATCGGATTTCTTTAATAAATGTAAAATTACTTGGCTATGTATTCACTCATAGTAACTTCCAACAGAGTTAAAAAAAGAAAAGGAGCTCCTTAAGCAACAATAATATTTGATAAAATTAATAAATGTATGTTATTTTAAAATGCCCTGGAAAGCAGAAGACATATATAATAATAGCCTGAGAAACTTTTTATAAATACTTTCTTGTCAGATTGACCAAAGCTATTTGAGAGAATTCGAGAAATACCAGGTGTATATATTTGTCTTATAAACCATGTTTAACTCAAAGATATCATCATATTGAACTACAGGTTTTCAGAACAAAAGAACATGGTTAATAATGTGTGATGAGTACAACATTGGAAAATCCCACAAATGATAGTTATTTCTCTCAATATTTACCAGACACAAGCTTTAGTACAATGCACATAATGTCTCTATTGCAAAATTAGTAGTTTGCAAATTAGTAATTTGAGTTTAGTCCTCATTTTTTTTCTGACATAATAATTGTGCAATATTTAATATGCATACTTGGTTTTCAAAATGATAATAATTTTTATTTTAGTTAGTGTACAGTATAGGTAATAGTTATTAGTTTAATTATAATCAATTTTTATTTACCCAACCACAAGATTTGATCATTTTTTAACAAATTTCACAAATATCATGGGAACTCTTGAATTGGCACTTTCAAAGCACTTACTTTGCTTGGAATTATTATTTCTAGCACTACACCAAGTTATTTGTATAGATAAATTAATGTTATTAAATTTTCAAGTGGAACCTCGGGATATAAGGAATAACAAAAATATGATGAAATTTTAAAATATAAATATAAGTGCATAAAATAATTGGTAATTATGGAAGCTAAATGATTAGTACAGGAGGACTCACACTCTTCCCTCAATGGTGTATACTTTTGGTCTTCTTCTTAAAATATAAATACACACACATATATATATTTTGAATCATATATATATATATATATTTTTTTTTTTTTTTTTTTTTGTAAGAGAATCCAATCAATGCCAGCAATGGACAGCATTGAGGAAGTAAAAGAATTTGTGTTTATTCGTCCTTGTGATTTCTGGAAAAAACTTTTTGTGAAGTGAAATGATAGTAGTTAGAATAGTTAATCTCAGTAGTTGGCATAAGTACCTTAACTCTGCTTTTCTCAGAATATTATTTACTTTTAATGAAGAGGAGGAAAAAGATATTGTAAAACTTGAACATAAATTTAGCTGCGATATACAAGGGTACTTCAAAAAGTTTGTGGAAAAATAAAATTAAAAGATAATACAAATCTTTCCAAAAATTTTTTGAAGACCCCACATATATATATATATATATATATATATATATATATATATGTATGTATGTAAGATTTCCCCAGTGTGTTGTTTGGAAAGTTCCCTAAGATTAAAAGTATAGTATCTTACCACACATGTAGCTTTAAGTAAAACATTTTCTTGCATCATACATCACAGAAGAAGCTAGAATAATTTGGCATCTTTCTTCTATTTCATTAATTCCAAAAGACATTTTGATTTCTGAACCCATAATTAGATTTTTGGAAATTCTATTTGGAAAAAAATACAAATTATTTGGTCTTAATTTTTGGCCGGCATATAAAAATATTTTTTCTAATTAATAAAATTTGCAACTAAAAAAATTTGCAAGTAGTCATATTGTTTATAACTGGCAGTGATTAAAATGTTTCACACATCTACATTTCAAATCTTATTTGAATTCATAGACCCTATACGGTTAGTAACTATTTAAAAACCGTATTATAACTTCTCTCTTCTTTTGCCTTCTTGCAGATAATGGAATTGTGCTGAAAGTAATCACAATTTACAACCAAGAAACAGAATCAATGGAAGAAGTAATTCTAGAAGAACTTCAGATATTCAAGGTATTTCAGGGAAAAATACAGCCCAAATTGATAGCTACATTCAATTACAAGATGTAGGTAGGAAATACATGTCAGCTTTTTTTCCTCTAACTAGTGCATGGTGAATTCAGAGCAAACCGAAGTGAGGAATGATTTAAAATTCTGATTCATCTATTTGATTGTCATAGACTTTTTAAAATGAAGAAGCCAATATATACCTAGCATGAAAAGAATGTCAAGGTAAAAACTATGACTATCAAGTAATAACATTTATACCACATGAGTTCCAGAATCATTATTGCAAAGTCACACCTTGTACAAATGTACTATCAATAATGACCCAAAAAAGTAATATGCTTTCATATTGTAGACACTGTGTCAGGATAAGCATACTGCTATTTGTTACAGTGTATTAATTACACAGAGAATTTACTAAAAAATAGAAGATGATAATTTAAAGATTAAACACGACAAAAACAATTTTATGTATCTATACATATGTAATATATATGTGTACGTATGCATGTGTATGTATGTGTGTGTATATATGTATACATATTAAATAATGAGTCAGGTCTCATTATTCACAGCAGTTATGGTCTTTAAAGTCACTGTGAACAATAAATTAGTGTATAATGATGATTGCTTCTAGGGTAAATACTTTACAGGGTTAAGTTCCTGCAAATTTCTGATTATAACATTTTTGTCAACTGATCAATACATAACCTTCTCTTATGTGGGTTTCTATTTAAAGATACTTTATTTAGTGTATGTTGCTGATGAATTAACACTGAACTCACAGCCAAAAGCCCTATACTTTATGCCTGAATAAAATTTGTCTAATGAAAGTCTTTTCTATGTTAAGGCACATGACAACCTTTTGAAGTTTAGGAACACTAAACAGCACTTCAACACTGTTTTTGCTGGTCATTTTAAACAGCAAAACAATAAACAACACAGAAATGTGAATGACACTAAATAGTTCGTGAAAATAACACTTGTTTACTGAAGCTGAAACAAGAAGGCAGAGTGTAAACTTTTTTGATCTCAGTTGGGAATGTGCATATTCTTAGACTCAAATTTTTGTTCTTTGGTTCATGCATATGTCTGGGAATAGAAAACACAGCAAGTATTGATATTGAGGTTACAACTTAATTTTAGCAAGTAGGTAAGTTTGCAAATATAGGATCTGTGAATAATTAGGATTGGTTGTATACGTATATACTGAATATGTATATGATGACTTTATTAATGAAAAGCAGTGCATCTTGCCTTGTTTTTCCTGGAGACCAGAGTCCCCAGAGCCACACCCTAAGCTAATCACTCTCCTATCTCAACCAAAGGAGCTATGTTTCTGCTTATTTTGCATATTGAGCCTCTATGTAAGATTTCCTTTCATGTTAGGAAATCTTATGAACCAAAGCTCTTATATTAACAGCATCCACCACGATTTTTCATTTTTTATTTTTCATATAAACTCTTAAGAAATGATGTTGCCTAAATGAGTAAATGAATGATTCACAAATGTATAAAGGGTTAGGTTCTTTAAAATATTTTTTTAAAATCCTGCTGAAAAAGAAGATCTCTCTTTCTCTTTTAAAAGAAATTTAAGAGAAATTTTCTCTTTTAAAAAATATTTCTTCAAAGTGTAATTATCCCCACAGTGGATTCCACATGCCTAGTGTTTCTCCACTTGCAGAATTGATCTTAATTTTTTGTGTTCTTTAGAGATGCCCTAGTCTTAATCAACATGCCTAAAATAATACATAGCCTCTCAAAGTTGAGCTATATGTTGTCCTTCCTGTGTTGCAATTCTAAGAAAATGATGTTAAGTCTTCTTGTTGAAAGAATCCTGGGTTCATAGTGATTCACCATGATCATTTCAACTGAAAAGCATTTTGTTTAGGCTAGGGTTAAAATGATTAAAGATCACACAGTTCATTAGCAATGATGCCTATTCAAGACATAACTGTTTTGCATATAACTGTTCAGGAAGAACATTCTGACTTCATTATTTTATTTAAAAATACTTGAGTTTCCAAAGAATGAGTAACATTTAAATGCAAACACAAAAATTACATTCCAGAGAAAAACAGTAAGCTGATTAGATTATCCACTGCTTTTTCTCATCTACATATCTGTTTCACTCCATTAGGAAATATTTTTAAAGCTATATTTTAATTTAATTGTATTTACATATTTATTTACTAAAATGAAAGCTAGAGGCTGCTTGGCATAGAACTACCCACATACCTAATTTGATTTCAGGTGATTTACAACCATATTAAGGTAGATATTTCTAGATTCCCTTCCTTAAAAAGGAAACATTTTTGTTTTTAAATTGCAGGATCCAGTCCCTATTATTTCTATGGAGATCTCTTCAAAGAGAGTAAGTTGTGTATGTGTGTACTATATGTGATTTAAGGCTAAAAGATATAAAAACATTAGTACATGTGCTTACATATGAGCAAGTTGCAGTTCTCTTCTTCTTTTATTATTTTATTTTATTGTAGTAAGAACATGTAACATAAGATCTATCCTCTTAAGAAATTATTAAGTGTATAATACATTATTGTTGACTACAAAGTACAGTGTTACACAGCAGATCCAGAGCAGATTCATCTTGCTTGACTGAAACTTTATGCCCATTGATTGGTTCTGACAAAAGTATGTAGTGATTTACTTTTAATAGATGTTGTCCTCTTCAATTTTTTTAGAAAGAAAGATGAGAGAAGTTTTACTTCTACCGTCATGATAGGGCATTTTTGCCTACCTATTTTTCACTATTTTTTTTTAAAGAATGGTGATAATGATAATCCAAATTTGTGCACTGAAACTAATTTCTCTTTCCATCTTAGTGGACTTAATTTTTGGTGTGAAGTCCAGAAACAGTTGTTGCTTATAGTGTCTAAAATTTATTTATAAATAACCTTTCATGTTTAAGCAAACGGGAACATATATTAAACATTGCTACTTGCCCTTTTTACTTAACAACATATCTTACAGTTTATCTCAAGTCATTCTAGAGATATCTACACCACTCTTCTAAAGGTTAAATGTTAATATATAGGAGACTTATTTACTTATTCAGTCTTTTACTGGATGTTCCCATTGATATTTAAAGGAAGACCTATAGTATTAGATAATGCAAGAGTTTTTTTTTGCTTATATAATGAATAAAAGTATAGACAGCTGCTTGAGTTCTAATCATGCTTAGTCTAACAATTTTTGTACTCCTACATTTAAGTCTATAAAAACATTTCAAATTTTGGAGAAATGAAAGTATCAATGTTCCATTATCTCTCTGGAGCAACTGCTGTAATTTGAGTATTCACTGAGGCGATTGTGTATAAATGTGAAAAGCTACATGTATTAGCTCAGTGAAAGTTCTGTCCATTTCTGCTAGCGGCCTCTTTCTGATTTCTGTAGCAACAACTGTATATTGGATCTCCTTCTGCCGTGGCGCAAGTCAGGTTCCATCAGTGTGACATGTATGGAAGTGCTTGTGCTGACTGCTGCCTGGCTCGAGACCCTTACTGTGCCTGGGATGGCATATCCTGTTCCCGGTACTACCCAACAGGGACACATGCAAAAAGGTGAGCCACAATACTTTATAGAATATCTCCATTGTTTAGGAAAACCCTAATCTTTTGATTTTTTTGTTTTTTCTTTTTATACCCATGCCATGAAAATAACCATGCTATTTTTACTTAAATAAATTATCAGTCATATTTTGTTTATAATATAAGCTTTGAAATCCTAAACTTTTCTTGAAAATATCTCCATTAATTATTATGTACAGAGACTGGAGCTGAACATGCTGTTGGACTTTTATTTTTCCACATAGGTTTGAATCGATTCTTTTCTCTTTTGAAAATTTTGCTTCCAGACATGAAATGAGGATAGATAAACTTAAAATGTGGAAAAGGCAAGTCACCACACATGCGGGATTCGAAGACTTAAAAGGAAAATAAATAAATACATTTTAAAACACATCCTGCATTTGCCTCATGTCCTTTCTACCAGCTGGTCTTCATTTATTTCATTTTGAAAGTGAATATTTTAACTCCCAGGCAAATGCATGACCTGTATAATTAATGAAATGTGTGATTTAATTCAACACAAATGAAGAGTACTTAAAGACCTTCAAAATCCAGTGTCTACAGTTCTGTGAAGTCATTGCCATTTGTAACAGAAGGTAAATCCCAGGATTCTTTAAAGAGGGGATCTTGAGGTATGGAAAGTATTTTGAAGAATAAAGGATATTTCTCCATTTGAGCCATATGAAGTTGCACATACTTTGTTAAAATATATAAGGAAAAATACATTTATTTATTATAGAATAGGCATTTCTTTTCTCATGATAAGAAGACCAAAGAAAAAAATAAAGCAAATTATGGAACTATATAAAAGTTTCGTACTAAAAGCAGTTTATATTACTTTCAATAATTCTTAGTACTTCACTTCAGGCAACTTTTCTTTAAACCTTTTTCAGAATCTAATTTAATCCAACTTAGTGTAATTGTTATTTTCATAGGTTCATATATATAGCATCATCTCATTTTAAAAACTTCACTAATTCAAAACTTTTTAAAATTGGACCTGTTCAGTTAACATTCCAGTATGTATTAAGGGTATAATTAGCAAATAATGAATGATACTCTGAGAGAACATTTCTCTTTTTTCTTTTTCTTTTTATTATTAATTTTTATTTTTATGTTTTTATTTTATCATTATACATTGTAAACATTTTTGTGTCCCTTTACCAATTTGAGAGAACATTTTTGAATGAATTTACTAACTATATTCAAAAACTGAGCAAATTAATTGATTATGTACAAATACTTGTTGATTTTAAAAAATTCTTGAAGAAAATAACCATATTATCATTTGAAGATATTGAATAGCTATTTATTCATCTATTAAGCCAATTACTCTGTCATATGTAAAGGATATGAAGAAACAATCACTCCCCTTGCCTACAAAAACTCAGAACCTAAAGTGGAGAATGGAGTTGTAAATAATGATGGTAGTAGCTTACTACTGAGCACTTATTATTTATAAGATACTCAACTAAATGCAACACACGCGATTATTTAATTCTTAAAACAACACAATTTTTGAGCTCGATTTTGAAGGTAGAAATACAAAGAGATTCCATTTAAAGGGAATTAATTGTCTGTGCCAAGGCGGAGAATGCTCAGGAAAAAACATGCTGTTCCAAAGATCAGGAGTGAAATAGCAGATTTGAGGGCAGAAAGGGAATTTTATCAAAAATAGTAAAATTAATTATTTTATTGTTATTAGCAGTATTCACAATGTTTGCAACCCTTGCAACAAATGCTTCTGAATAACTAGTTTTTGTATTAGGCATTCAGGAGTGATGATAAATTTTAACAGAGCAGTTTCTGTTGCTAAATATTTCTTGGTGTGTGGTGCATATTGCGATATTTATAAACACACAAGTTTGATAATGTATTTAGATTGATGGATAAAAAGAGTTATTTAGGAAAAGTTAAATGAATGGGCAAAATAGAAGACAGGAAGGAATGAAATGCTAGAGTCAGAAGCCGTGCTCATAAATGAATTAGCTCAGTTCGGTGACATGTAATGGAGATCTTTCAGTGGTGTCAAATTCTTTTGAACCATCACCCACCCTGGGAGAACGTTTTTGGATAAGTTCCAGCACATGAAGGGCGAATAGTTTGCTTTTATAACAGATAGTTTTTGCTTCAGACCTGAATAGAAGCAGATATTGAAAACTGGTCATTAAAATAAACACTTTTCTGCTCACAGGGTGAAAATGAGTCAACAGGGGAAAAAACATTAATTCACAGTCCAAACCACTTGTTTAAAATGGTCTTCCAAACATACTACAATTTGTAAAGCTAGGTCTTTTTCTTCCCCCTGCTCTTGTATTCTGGGTATTTCCAGTGTTCTCTTAAAAAGTTTCTAAGAGGCTAGAGATGTAAGAAAAATATGCAACTTTGAGAATGAAAGGCAACTTTGCTCAACTTTTCTCAAACTCCTGATCCAAATATATGGTTTTGTTGTTGTTGTTTTGGGGTTTTTTAACGCTGAAATAAAGGATAACTGTATTTGATAGTGTAAAATGAACTAAAAGCTTGCCGGAGGATGTGATGTCTTTGTTTTTTAAGTGCATGTTTATGATTTTAAACTATTTTTTTGCACTCAATTTATCATTCACATTGCTTATCTAGAATTATCTCATTGCAATTCTCTTTATTCTTGCATCAATGTATAATAACTTGATTCAAAACCATCTTTGCAAAGTGGAAACTGTTACCCATTTCATTGATTTTACCACTGCTCCATTATTCATTATTGCTCACAGTCTTTAGATTTCCAGTACTGAAGCAGTATTCAACAAAGTGAGAAATTAACAGCAGCAGTCTAATTCTATTCTAGAGCTGCTATCACTTACATAACACAGTAATGCCAATGTAAAATAATGTAGAAGCATAAAACTTTCCACTTTTGCTTGTTACTTTTTCTGCGAATTGCATTTTCAACCTAGCTCAGTAGAATGATCCATGTGACAGTTTTAATCTTAATTCTTTAAAATCCCAGGTCTTTAGGTAAGGTTTTCTAATCAGCAATAAAAACAAAACAAAACCTGCTTTTGCACATAGGTGACTGGAAATGTTCATCTACACTAGCTTTTTGATATGTATTAAGTTGTTAGGTATGATCTGAATTTCTATGTGAGAAAGCACTTCATCTCTTGAAATAACATTATATTATCATTATTTAGAGGTACTGAGGAAATCCTAGAATGAAAAAAAATTGAGAATGTAATAGATTTTAGGGGATATTTAGCCAATTCTATTTTACAAAGGAGGACACAAAGAGCCAGGAAAAGGAAGACATATGCATAAGACCATGCAGAATGTTAGTGGGGCATCGGCATGGGAATTTGGTTCACTTTTCCAAAATTTATCATTGCATGTGATTAAAGCATCTCATTTTCACTTCAGAAGCATCACCATCACCTTCTAGGGTAAAACTTCTACTTCGCTTTCTGTCTTTCCCTCAGTCTTGAAGAAGTGCTATGAGTTAGAGAAGCAAGTGGTGTTTTCCACCTTTATGTAATACCTATATTTTTGTCTCTAATCTGAATTAAGTACACTAAAGATTTTGATTTTAGAATTTCAGTTCTAATAATGTTAATTCCCATTGTTTAATTCCTCAGGAAGATGCTTAAATATTTAACACATGATATATATTCTGGGAATATTTTCCAAGGATATAAAATATTGTATTTTTTAGTCGTATACCTAAAAAACCTGTAAATATGAAAATATACTAGAAGTGATCCTAATTTTAATAGGCAGATTAAAGGAAAAAGAACTAATATTTTTGAGTCTTTCTAGATGCAACACATCCTCTCTACATGTGTAATATATGATCATATTGAATAGAAGCATATACTTTCTAAATATATCTGAATAAAAGAGTCAGATTAGTGTATTATTAATTTATCTCTTTTTATTAGCGACTATATTTTTGCTAATTGATTAGGATAGCTATAAAACAAAATATTTGGATTGAAATACTTCTTTCACATGCACTTTATTATATAGAGTTTTTATGACATTGTACTCAAATAAATATTTTACCTCAAATCCCATTGTCTTTATCTGTGCACATCCCTTGCCACCCCAAGATATTCATTTCAAACCAAAAGACTTTTTGTTGAATTAGATTTTTAACAGCACGTAAAGACAAATTTATTAACTTATTGTCTGGGAACTTACAATTCAAACCTATGTAAGCATTTAAAGGACAATGTTATATAGATCTTAAATACGGAAGAACATTGAATGGAAATATGGAAAACTATGTAACTTGGATTTTATACTTGTTTCATATGACATCAAGTTTTTCAGTATCAGAATGGTACTTGAATCTTCAATGCAGTTGGCTGTATTTTAAAGTCTGGAAAATTGAAATCTGAATATCTTCTAAATGCATTTATTTTCTTTCAGGAGATTCCGGAGACAAGATGTTCGGCATGGAAATGCAGCTCAGCAGTGCTTTGGGCAGCAGTTTGTTGGTAATGCATAAAAAATCAATTGCTATGGATTACTTAGAGTGTACACTGAAAAGAAACTGCAAACTTCTTAAAAATAGTTTCTGCCTTCTTTGTGATTTATATATACTAGAGCAATGTAACTGAAAGTGTTCTTTTTTGCTTCCATGTAGTTAACATTTTGTAGATTTGAAATATAATCTTTACATAATTAGAAAAATAAGTGTTAGGTACAACTAGGCTTTATTATTTGACCTCAAAACAGAGAAATTCTAGAACAAGAACACTGCATACTTAAGGTGGTTGATGCTACAGTAATTTGTAGGACTTCTTCCTTCATCTCATACCTGGAAATATTTTTACCATGTTATATGCCTTATGATGATCCTATCAAGAGTGATATATTAGTAACTTGTATCAAGTCATCTACTAAGCACTGGAATAGAATAAAGTGAAAAACATTTACTCTTTTACTGGAGTAGCATAAGCCTAGAGCTGGAGATGGTAGTGCAGGAAGGGTGGTGGTTGCTCTGATGGGTAAAAGATGAGAGGAAATTTCAGTTTTAGGCAAACATAAAGAAGTGAAAAAGACAGAAAAATGCTCTTTTGATTCTTCACATTACAATGGTGGTTGGTGAAGAGGCTGTGTTTTGTGTCACTGAGTTTACCAGGAGGTACCAGGAGGAAGAGGCACTATTGTTGGGAGGTCAGCAGGGATTATACACAGATCCAGAGATTGCAGTCCAGAGATCAGTTCACACACTGACCCAGGATTCAGTGCAGGACTCAAGCCTCTGGGAATACTGGCAGGAGAAAGGGAGGACATCAATCTTATGGAAGTTTAGGGGTCAGTTTTAAAGGTGAGGAGGATGTAGACAAAGGAAAAAAAAAAAAAACTCAGGATCTAGTTATTTTATCTTGGTTAAAACAAAAAAAGAGTAAGTCTGCACTGCCTGTATGCAAAGTTGAGTTCAAGTCCAGTGAGAGCCTTTCTGTTCCAAGTCATAGATTATAATTAAGAAACTCTGGTTCAATGAGTGCTTAATTCAGTTTCATGCTCCTTACTGCAGGATCTCAACACCTGGTTATGTGTAATACCTTGTCAAGATGCCACTCACACTTGTGTGTATGTAGTGCCAGGTCACCTAGATTTCTGATTTTTGCTTTTGTTTGCAACCATGAATTTGGTCCTATGCCTTGCTTGAATGCTTGTGCTCACCTTCTCTTCCCTGCTTTATCAAGAGATGTTGTCGTTGTTTTTCCATGAATTTAATGTTGATGCTCCTTCTTACTGTCCAGATTATCCCATCCTTTGAAAAGGAACTCACAGTTCCCTCCTTCTGTCCCACCGTACAGCCTGCTTGCCTTTTTAATGCCTAGATTTTGGTATGCTACTCTCCCTAAATGACCCCTTTAAAAGACCCTGCATAAAAACTACCAAGAGGTAATGCAAGTTAATCACGCTGCCGAGATCTGAATAAATAACGTTTTTTAAAAATCACTTACCAGTGAAATCAAAGTCGCAAGGCTGATGTTAACATTCCTGTTGCAGGGGATGCTTTGGATAAGACTGAAGAGCGACTGGCTTATGGCATAGAGAACAACAGTACTTTGCTAGAATGTACCCCACGATCTTTACAAGCAAAAGTCATCTGGTTTGTGCAGAAAGAACGTGAAACAAGAAAAGAGGAGGTAATTCATGGTGTCATGCATATAGTGTATAATCAGTAAACAGATGATTTATTTTGATGATTAAAAATGAAACTGTTGTATTATACATGTCTTATTTTAAAAGTCAGCTTTGTTATGTGTAATTTATATACATATAAAATTTTTGAATATATAGATATATAGATTTTTATATACTATATATTTATATAAATATATAAATAAATTATTTTTTATATATAAATCAATAATTAGAATTCTGAAAACTGAATTTTTATTCAGAGGTTATTTATAGCTTCATGATTTTAGTGTCATGATTTCAAAGTCTTAAGCTGCATCACCCAAGGCAATGTTATAAAGAAATAGCAAGATTAGTCACCTTTAGCACATATATCTTAGACATAAGAATAATAGAATTAAAATAACAACAGCAACAGCAACATTAAACCAGTTGCATGATAAAGCTTTTAAACCATGTATGAGACGTTGACACAAAGATTCTTGTCCACTGGGAACAAAGGAAATGTGTCAGCTGTTTCATCCTTTTAAGCAGGTTTGGTGGTGGAGATTAGATTTCTGTAACCATGTAAACAATGGGAGGGGAATGACTTGGGCTGCTTTTAGAGCTGGGAGGACAGGCAGCATTTAAGGTATGTATGGAGTAGTCTGGATGCAGTTACCAGATTAACAAATGTGAATTGAGGGACCTGGCTGTGTATAGGGAGAAGTCCAGGGCATAATGAGTTCAGGAAGGTGGATCATTAATGTTGATGTGGGTTTTGAATTAAATTTTTACAAAAGCTTAATTATAAAGAAGAGCAAGTAGAAGAAAATTTGGATATGTCAGAGGGAAATAAATCCTGATGAGTAATGGAGAAATGGTCCTTGGTAAAGGGACGATTGAAAGTTGAGTATGGAAAGAAATTCTAGAAACCTTCCTGAGGGCACATGGAAGAGTTAATATGTGCATATCAGATAGAGAGTGAATTAATGGACGTCTTCACCTCATTTGGGCACTGGAAACTAAACATTTGCTCTTGAAAACCAAAATTGCTGATTCCAAATGTGAAGCACTTTTTTATGCCTTTTGTCTCTAGCCTATGGCAAAACTAAAAATTCAACACATGTTTGGTCCCAAATCATACAGTACGTTCTGGGAGATGATTAAATTAGTAAATCCCAGGTTCTTAGAATAGCCACTAGAGAGGAAGGCACCTGCATTTAACTAAGTTTATTAGAAATAATATAGAAATGCATGACATCATAAGAATAAAGATATGGCCAAAATGTCATAGTATATTACATTGAATTAAACTTTTGATTTTGTACTGATGTATTTTCCATTTCACAAATTGGAGGTGAAATGGCTTTTTAGATTTTGTCATAACTCACTTAGCAGGAAAGTTCCTGAGAATATTCTAATTCCTCCAGTCGAATGGCTTCAGAAGACAGAAAAGTAGTTCTTTCATCATTGGTTTTCTTCATTCAGTATGTTCTGTTTCTAATTTGGAACTCACCATAACCTGCCTCATTTGAAACTCATTGCCAAATCATTTTGACATGCTGCATCCATCAATGTTCAATTATAGGCTTCTTTCTGGTATTGCTGATATAATCTGCTTCTTCTTTTCAATAATTTTTAGTCCTTACTTTCAACTGCATTCAAATTTGTTTGACTAAGATATTCCCTAAATTTTGAAATTTTGAATTTACTCTCTGCATTAAAAGTTACATCATAATCAGAAAACACATGGTTTCTATAGACATAGTAGTACATGTATTGATTTATTTACAATCCAAAACAAGCAAAACACAAAATTGCTGACTTCACCAAAGGCTGAATGTATATGTATGAAGATACTTCAAAAAGTATGTGGAAAAATAGAATTGAAAGTTAATACAAATCTTTCCACGAACTTTTCGAAGCATCCTAGTAAACAAAAAACAGAATGACTTTGCATGTGAATCCGGGGTTTTATTTAAATATATATTTTTTGCATTTATTGCTATTTATATGTCTCATGTAAAAAAATCAATTCTTTATCAAATCTAGAACATTGTAAAGGATGTTTAAGTTCACCTAGTCCAATTCTTACCTCCTGTAGGAATGTTTGTAGAGAACTCCTGACAATGGCTATCAAGGCTCATCACTGATGCTACAAACCATGACAAGTCATTAATTTGTCAGACCATAAAGTATATGCATCTTCTCTTTTCGGAACTGAAATTTTTGATTCTGGAACTTTTTCTGCCTGTTCAAATCCAAACTCAGCCCTTTGGAGTTACCTAGAAACAACATATTCATGTGGATAAAATTTTTGCTCAAATTAATCTTTAGAAACTCTGTGTAACTAAATTGTTAGAAAGCATCTAGAAACTCAGTTATCTAGTTTCTAAACTCTGAAGTGCAGCATTCTCTCTAATAAGCACTTTAAAGTCTCTTGTTCCCTTAAATATAACACACGGAATACAATTTCCATACATTTTATTAATTCTATATTTATCGAAAGTGTCCTTTTCTAGGTACTTCATAAGGAAGAATGTTATTCTTGGCTTGACGGCCTTGTTAATTAGGATGTTATAATTAGTTTCTATAAATATAAATTAAATATAAACATATTAGTTGCTATAAATAGCATCAGTTATTATGATATCTTGAGGGGAAATAGAATTTATAATAGAATAGACTTGATAGATGAGACTGCTTTTTAATGTGAACCTGTTGCACACAGGAACTGTAATAGGTGCCTTACTATGTTCTTCATAGATCTCACAAATGCATTCTAGACATAACTACCCTCATCTTAAATCTGCAGAAACTTAAACTCAGAGAGTCATAGCTCATATGCAAAGTCAGTGGCAAATGTGAGGTTTAAACTCAGGTATTCCTGACTCCGAAGCTGTACTGCTTCACATTTATTCATTGTCTTAGTACCAAGGACTGTGCTATGTACATTTTATAAAATATATCATTTATCTTTTAAAAAATGGTTTACAAATGGGGTAATCTAGACACGTTTCATAACTTTCCTGGTTAATCATAGCTAGTAAGGTAGATTAAGGTCCAGGTCTTTATGTTCTTTCTAATAATCCACAAAATATTCTGAAATCAGAATTCTAAATACAGTTTCAGATGCTTTGTGACATGGGACAAATGAAGAACTGTTTATAAAAGAAGTTCTGGGATTCAATTTCTGAACAATGCTTCTGATGTCAGCTGATTCTTATATATTTATTTCTTCATCAGCGTTGAGTGGGGCATGTTGCTGCATCCTTGGTGACAAAGGCAGTAACCCTCATATTTAGATGCCTGAGAACCTACTCATAATTCAAACAGTTCCCACTCCAAGCACTGATACCATGAATTGTTATACAATGTATACAATGCTTATAGCAATGCATTTCCATTCTCAAGTTGCCTTTTCAAGTTTCTATTCTGCCTATTGGTAGAAGAAGAGGACTTCTATATCAAAATTAGTGTACTCTATCATTTGATCCTGTGTAGATATAAAGCTCAAGGTACTTTACCTCATTTTCTTGGGTTTTAACTAAAAGAATATTTTATTCATTCATTTGAAACTCATTTATTGAGCACGTACTATCTTTTGCTTTCACAGAACTTATATTCTGGAGAATGGGGAACGATAATAATAATATTAACAATGACTAAATAAGAACAATATTTAATGTGTAAGATAATAATGAAGAGAAGAATACAAGAGATATTATTTATATAGAGAGGTTGCAATTTTAAAGAGCTGTTCATGGATGGTCTCACTAATAAGGTCACCGAGACGGTGACATTTGGAAAAAGAACTTAAAAAGATGAAGGAGTAGGCTGTGTGACAGCATGGGAGAAGAACTTTCTGGACATTGGGTACAGCACATGCAGCAAATGCTCTTGAGGTAGCAGTGCACCTGATACCTTCAAAGAACGTCAGGGTGGTGGCCAGTGTAGGGGATGAGCAACAGGGAGACTAATAGCCCATGAGTCAGAGAGGTGAGGTAAAGGGCCAGTTCATGCAGGGTGTTTCAGCTGTTACATAGGATTCTGGTTTTTGCTCTGAATTAAATAGGACACCATTGGGTAGTTTTTCAGCAGAGGTGTGGCATGATCAACATTTGGTTTTAGAAAGATCACTTTGATGATTGTATTAAGAATATAGTATATGGGGGTGAAGATAAGAGTGGAAGCATGTAGTCATTAGGGTGTTACGGATACAGTATTCAGTATAAATCTTTATGTTGAAAGACACAAAATCAACTATTAATGTGCCCTGTGTCCTTAATGCTAAAAGATATGCAAGTGATAGCCTCATACACATAGTACCAATGTACTTTGCTATACTTTTCAGTATTATTGAGAAATGGGAAGGTTGTTTAACATATCAGATGAAATACTTTTTAAATCTTCTACTGTCTTCTCTCTGTTTAAATGTCTGCAATTGGTATTTTGAACTTGGTAACATTTGCTCAGAGCCTGCTCTAATATGTGACAAATAAATCATAGTCTTAGCTCTTGTACAGACTACAGACTTGTAGTGAAGGCAGGAATGTAAAAGAGCATTATATTATTTCTTACAAGTTCTGTTGAAACCAAGGGAAAAGAAAATTGTTGCAGTGAAAAGGCTGGGTAGAAGAGGCTGGACAATCGGGAAAAGATTCACGGTACTATTTGAGCCACAACTTACAGGACAAGTAGAAGGTCACTCGCAGAGACAGTGGTGTAAGCTGATGTCATGGAGATAAGAAACAATATGGTATGTGTAAATCGTGGTTGGGAATGAGGATGCAGGAATGAGTAGATGGATCAAGGAATCCATTTAATTTTACCCATAAGTCAATGAGAACTCTTTAGACTGCCTGTTTTGTCAGATTATTCTGGAAATTATCACACAATTAGGAGATAAGCATGATGTCAAAAAGACCAGGTAGGAAGGTATTTCAATAGTCAATGAAAGATTTTTGGCCACATAAACTAAACAGTAGTAATAGGAAGGTGTTGGGCCTTAAAAACTAACGCC